CCAGGATTCCGTAATAACGACTATTTCGGATCCCTGGGAGCGTGCTGCAATCTCGCCCCATTTACCTCGGACGTTACAAGCGTTAGTATACCACGATTGCACTACTATCCGCTTGTAGCTGTATCGATTGCGGCTCTTTTATACTCTGGGAATCCTATTGCAATACTGTCCGTTTGTAGCTGTATCTTGCGGCCCTTTTATACTCTGGGAGTCCTCGGGCGCAATACCCGAGGNAATTGTGCTCAATCGTGGCCGGCGTTTCGGTGTATTCGCTACTACTGTTGCCCAGCCGCGGTCCTCCGACACCTTTTCGCGTGTAGAGGTTCCCTGCGCTCCGTTTCTGCGATTATCTTGCTCCGAGGAAGCGGATTTCTGTGCTACAGATTTAGCTTCGCAGCTGCTGCGATGCTGAAGGCGGTGGTGGTTTTCTCCGTTCCAACTACGTTCGCTTCGTTACCCCTTAACGCTCGTAGCGGATTTCCTATAGGTTTCGGAGTTGACTTACTCAACGGTGTACCCTTCGGTCCTTGTGTGCCCTTTGGTGTGCACACTTGACCTTGGGCCTTCGTTGAGTTAGTCACCGATCTAGTTTTTTCGGGTGCCCCTACCCTCCTAAGCTTAACAGCTGCATTCTTCGGCGGCCCTACCTCTTGTTTGCTGGTGGGTGGCCAGTTTGTTCGACGGATCACGGTACGGTTGGCGTGGCATCCCAACTATTAGGATTCCTAAAAACGGTCGATTTTTAGATGTATTTTAGAAAAAGCGATGTCGAATTCAGCCGGAATGGAACAGATTTTACTTTTAGCTAAAATTTAATTATGGAACACTTCGAGAGCTGACAACAAGTTAGTTTTATTCCGTATTCGTCGATGTTCTTAGGCTGAAAGTTTCAGAATAGTATTTAGAATACCTTTTGACAGTTATATGAAAGGTGAAATTCTGAAAGATTTGGTATTCGTACATTTCCTTCCAGAGAATTCGTTCGTTTATATGAACGAATAGTTATTTTATCTTTTAAATTGAATAAATTTCCTTTTAATGTTTTTGGTTGTTGGCTGCCTTATTGAAACCCACGTTATGTTTAGGGTCTGTAATAAGCGAAATAATTTTTGAGCGACGGTAGTCTCCAGTTGGGATTTTTTCATTACTTGGAGAATGGAGATCGATCAAATGACCTTAAACGTTTTGAATCAGCCGCGTTTGGATGCTGCGCGCTTACCATCACTGTATCATTATCCGGGGTGACAATTATGCCGCCCCTGGTGATGCTTTCTTTTGCCGCTGATCTAGACAATACGCGGTCCCTGGCATACACACTCATAACAATATAGGCCGGGGTTGGGTGACTCTTTCGCCTTTCCATAGTCCCACCCTATGATAGTTCATAATCGCTGTCATGTTTGGCATCCCCGTTAGCCTAAGCGCGGTCTGCACATACTTTCGGTCCGCCTAGTGCCTCCAAGGCGAGAGATTGTTATACGTGAGCGTTCCTCTTCCAAACTAGATCCCAATACACAGCATAGCAAAAATAAAAACATGCAACCTGAGTGACCCGCTCCTAATCCTCTCGTTTTTTCAAGTCGCTAGCTTGTCAGATCTCCACTTCAGGAACAATTTTACACCACCATTCGTCCAGGGCCGTCTCATATGCTAGCACTATCTGCAGTTCTACTAGCNCTACTAGCTCCACAGGTAGTCTGTTCCATACGTTGACTACCCTGTTGCTGGAGAAGTGTGACCGGGATATTAACCGAGACCGGGCCTTGGCTAGCTTCATTTCGAGCCCCCTTGTACGGGAATCTAGAGCTTCCTGGAACAGGGTTTCTGGTCTAATACCAGACAAACCTTTAATTATCTTAAATACTTCCATCATATCTCCCTGAGCCTTCTCTTTTCTAAAGAGAATAGTCCCAGGTCCTGAAGCCTTTACTTGTAGCCTTTACCTCGCTGACCTTCAACCATTTTCGTTGCCAGTCGCTGAACGCGCTCTAAACAGGCGGCATCCTTTTTGAAGAAGGGTGACCATGCCTGCACACATTACTCGAGGTGAGGTCTAATTATAGCTTTGTAGAGAGGCACGAACACCTCCGGTTTTCTGCAAGACAATGCTGACCTCAATCTGAAGAGTTCTCTGCGAGTGCTATTTGCGGCTGCTAAGCACTGCTGGGTCCAGCGGAAATCGGAGGTTACGACAATACCCAAGTCCTTTGCCTTACTAACCGGTTCTATCGTGAACGGACCCTGGTCTTACACTAATGTCAAGCTTTCGTCAGTACGCGAAAGCAACTGGCTTTTACCAGCATTCAGCGGAAAATCCCACTTCTGCACCCAGCTAAGGACAGCAGTTATGTCACCTTTTAGGTTCTCTCTTCCTTTAGATCCAACCACCTTGACATTGTCTGCGAAGAAAAAGGTGGGCGATGTCAGCAGAGCAGCAAGGTTGTTTACGAAAAGTAGGAACAACAACGGACCTAGCACTAAGCCCTGAGGTACATCACTTGTGACGAATGCTGTACAGGAGCACTTGCCACCTACTTTGACGTAGAAGGTCATGTTTGTGGCGAAATCGCTCAGCCATTGGTGGGTTTGTCCCCTTATACCGAACGCCTCTATTTTGACCAATAGCAGGCGTTCATGAACCGCGCCAAACGCCTTGCTAAAGTCAAGAAAACACACATCTACCCTGTGTCCCTCGTCCAATCTTCTGGTAACTTCGTCCAAGAAGCACAGTAGATTAGTCAAACGGGATCTACCTTTGAGAAACCCGTCTTGAGTTGGACACAGCATAGAGTGCTGAATTAGGTGCTGGCATATATGGGTGCGAATAATCTTTTCTAGCACCTTACATAAGATACTAGTTAGACTAACTGGCCTGTAGTTACCCAACTCTGATCGGGCTCCCCCTTATGTATGGCTACCACCTCTGCTACCTTCCAGTCCCTCGGTAGAACATCCTGATATAACAAAGCTTTGAATAACTTATACACCGATCCTGCGAGGATATCAGCTATGGGCTTGAATCTCTTCTGATTCAGCCGCTTTATGAACGTCTAGGCCCTCCAAGTGCTGCCGCATTCTCTTTTACGATAACTGAAGCTCCCGGATTTCCGGCGGGGATGTTCCTAACTCCAAGGTTCTCGGCATACTGTCATCTATTCGGTGCACACTGCCAAAATAACCACCCAATGCATCTGCCTTACCCTGGTCGTCCATCACGACTGGTGCAGCACCTATATTTAATGGTCTTATACCCACTCTCAGTGCTCTCTTGGACTGAACGTAGCTATAGTATTTCTTTGGTTTGATTTTGCCACATTGGGTCAGCTTAAGCTCATGTTGCCGTTTTGCTTCTCTTATCAGCCTAACCGCCTCATTTCTCTACCTATACCGAACCCACGCCTGTTGATTTCCGGAAGATCTAAAGCTCTTCCAGTACCTGTTTTGTTGTTTGATGGTCCTGGCTATGGCTACCCTCCACCACAACGGCTTGTCGCCACGTCGGCTGGGTCTGAATGGAGCAAATTCATTTGTAGATATTCGACGGCCTCCTTAATAAACATCCAGTGCTCTTCTACACTAGCCCCTTCCGGAGCATCCCAAACCAACTCCGATGCCCTGTTTCTAAGATTCCCTAGATCCATACAACCGAAATTTCTAATGATCTTGGATGGTCCCCTAGCATGCCGCATGCACACTTTGATCGATAGGATGACGTGGTCGCTCTTACCAAGCGGTGGGTGCGACTGTGGCGCCATGATACCATTATTGTGTGTGGTGATCACTAGATCTAGCTGGGATGGAGCATTACCTGACCTGAATCTAGTGTTTTCCCTAACATGTTGCCATAGGGCGTTTTCATGCAGCCATTTGATATAGTCCTCTTCTGCTGTTCCTCGGGTGCATACCTCAGACCTCCAGCCTATATGTGGTAGGTTGAAGTCATCAGCAATGATAGCTTTGTTAGCTTCCTTTACTATCCTCGTGAGGGCACACAGCAGTTGACTATCTTGAAGTCAGGTCAGGTAAGGTCAGGTGGCACAGGACGAAAAGGCTTTCGCCAACTGAGCGTACAGATTCTTGCTTCAGCGGGAACCACGTTCTTCCGGAGCTTCGGCTCCTTGTCAACCGTTTGACCACAGCCGATTTCTTCGTTCAGAATAGCCTGCCGGGGTTTGATGATGGCCGGATGTAGCCAGTGGACGCCAGCGGGCTTGTTTACATTCAAGCCCTCCATGGCATCAAGAACACTACTAACTGAAACTTCCACATCACCCATTGGAGGGGTGTCAAAAAACTCTCGAGGGACTGCACGCCCATCGTCTTCTTCATAGACGGTTTCGAAATACCTCCTGAGCGTATCACATTTTTCGTAATCTGAGACAGACAGCCCATCTCCGGGGTCCTCAAGAGTGCCTTCCGATTGCCTTAGTACAGTCTTCGATTGCACATAGCTATGGTACCTCTTGGGTTTCTGGCGCGCTCTCTCGGCGATTTTCATCTCGAAGGTCATTTTCCTTGTTTTACTAGCTTGTTTGCATAGTTTCTCGCCTTCTAATATTGGAGCCATCAAACATGCCATCCCGAGAGAACAAATGCATTTTCACCTACGAGTCCTTTCCCCTATGGCGCGCTTGATGGCCGGCTTCCACCACTGCGGTTTGTGGGTATCCCCCCGAGGCTGCAAGGGAGCAGGCCTCTCCGTCAGCTCTGATAGCTGGTGGCGGATTATCCCCCATCGTTGATCGACGGGCGCTTCTGTTTCCTGCGGGAACCATGCTCCGGTTTGAGCATCTCACTTCAAGTCCTCTACGTTCATTCGCCCGAAATTGCTGCACCACCTGCGTGATGTTTTTTCCTTTGCACTGCATGTTTCTGGCAGCAGTACATTGTGATCACTTTTACCGAGAGGAACCTCCTGTCTTAGATCGCTGATCTCACTCTCTCGCCGACTGAGATTCGGATCCAAGGTAGACGGTCTCTGCCCTAGCCGGATGCGCGTTGGTTCTCTCACCTGCAGATAGAGTGATGCCGCATGGAAGCAGTTCATGAGTTCATGTTCTGCTTGCCCCTCTCCCTCGTCCTCATAGTACCATTCTATTTCGGGGAGATTGAAATCCCCACCATATTAGACGAGTGCTTTCCCCTACCGAATGTGGTAATGAGATTTATTAGCGCTCGATAATCCTCCGGTCTGGAGGTTGGCGATCTTTAGGCACCTAATATTCAAAAGTGTCGGCCTGTGTTTCTTACAATGTAGCCTGTAGCTTGCACTGTCGGTGTACAAAAGCATTTCCCACTGGATATACTGCCGACGAACGAGCAGTAGGACCCCGCGCCCTAGCCCACCCTACCCATCGGTTCTGTAGTGAGTAGTCTTTCGACTGAAATGGTTTTGGATAACCAAGTTTCAGTAAGGATCACAACGTCGCAATCCTGGTTCCTAATCGCTAGCTCACCCCATTTGTTTCCAACGCTGCACACATTCATGTATCATAGTTTTAGGTTGTAT